AAAAAAAAAAAAGCAAACATGATTCTGGGATGCATTAACAGGTGTGTTGTGAGCAATACACGACAAGTCATTCTTCCGCTCTACTCTGCGCTGGTTAGGCCTCAGTTGGAGTATTGTGTCCAGTTCTGGGCACCCCATTTCATGGAAGATGTGGAGAAACTGGAGAGGGTCCAGAGAAGAGCAACAAGAATGATTAAAGGTCTAGAGAACATGACCTATGAGGGAAGGCTGAAGGAATTGGGTTTGTTTAGTTTAGAAAAGAGAATACTGAGCGGGGACATGATAGCAGTTTTCAGATATCTAAAAGGGTGTCATAAGGAGGAGGGAGAAAACTTGTTCATCTTGGCCTCTGAGGATAGAACAAGAAGCAATGGGCTTAAACTACAGCAAGGGAGGTTGAGGTTGGACACTAGGAAAAAGTTCCTGTCAGGGTAGTCAAAAACTGAAATAAATTGCCCAGGGAAGTTGTGGAATTCCCATCTGTGGAGGTATTTAAGAGTAGGTTAGATAAATGTCTATCCAGGATTGTCTAGACAGTATTTGGTCCTGCCACGGGGGCAGCGGACTGGACTCTATGATCTCTCGAGGTCCCTTCCAGTCCTAAGATTCTATGATTCAGACGTTTTTGGCTGAAACCACAATACATGAAATGCATTCAGCTCTCAATTACTTCAAACAAGGGGCTAGGCTAGAGAGTGTCTCAACCCTGGGAGCTCCCCATGAGAGAGCCTGTCAATACAGGCCCCTGCTGCTCCCAGCTGGCTGTTGACAAAGCAGAACAGCAGGAACACAGGCGGAGATGCCCCACAGGGGAAAATAAACCAAACTCCTGAGCCCTGCTGATAGGAGGGATAAGGTAGAAGGCAGTAACTGTTGCAGCATTCATCCTCATTGCTTTTTTAATGACTTTACCTTGGTCACAACAGGGGCTGTCAGAACAGCAAATCTAAATCAGGCCTCGTTCCCAGGGCTGATCAGTACATTTCCTGTTACCAGTCTGGAATGCGAGTAAGAAGGCAAGTGGGGTCAAAGCTTGAGCAGAGCAGGGGTGGCCTTACCATGAGGCGAACTAAGGCCTCAGGTGCCAGACTGGGGGAGCACCAGTAGGACCCAGAGTGTAGAAAACTGTCTGCTGCTGGTGCACATGTATTCTCTCTGCTCTAGATGCACAGAGATGGTGGAGTGCTGTGCTGGAGGAAGGAGGGCACAAGAGACATAACAGGCAGGCAGGAGAAAAGGGAGTATGGGGGCATCATTTGAGCTCCCCGCCTCAGGTGCCAAAATGTTGTGGGCCAGCTCTGGAGTAGAGGGCTGGGAATCAGGACACCTGGATTCTGTGCCCAGCTCTGTCAGTTGCTTGTTGCCCCGCCTGTCCTCTGCAAAAGGAAGGGAGGGTACGATCCAGTCCTTTTGTGAAGCACTTTAAGAACTTTGCCAAGCATGTTAGCACAATGAATGATTAGCAGCTTTGAAGGAAAGTTAAGCAAGGGAGATCCTACATCTACAGACAGCCCCTGGCCATAGACATGATCCACTGGATTTCACTTATTAATGTTTGCAAAGTTCATGCTAGTCTTTTTAAGTAAAACTAAAGGTGGCACATTGCTGGTTAAAACCCAGCACTACCCACATACATGTACTACCCAGAGCCCAAGGGAGCACTCCTATCTCTGTGGTATCCTGCCATTACAAATTCCAATTCTTGGCTACTTCAGCTCTCCCCTAGAGGCTGAGCACAATCCAAGGGCTCAGGTAACTCTCCACGTAGCTGCAGCTGGATGGGCTTCATCAGTCTCTCAGCTGAGCTCTCCCTTTGGCTCCATTTCAGACTTGCACCTTCCCCCCTACCATCCTGGAACAACCTCCCAGGGAGCACATGCACATCCCATGGCTCTCCTCCACTGCCTGAACACCTCCTTTCTCCATGGAGCATTCCAGCAGGAGGGACTGGGAATACCTGCACTTCCTATTGTAGTGCTCCTGTCTGCATGGAGTTCTTGCCTTTATACATTTGGGGCTAGAATTACTATTGGCAGTAGTGACTGCAACTATTAAAATGGAGAGTCAGATCCCTTGGTCAATGTAACTCATTGTGTCAGACTGGTATCTCTTGGGGCAGCTGTTGGACACACTGCATAGCTCACCCTCACCCATTCTGACGGTGCTCCACATTTTGTAACTGCTGAAGCATTAACACCTACTAGTCAAAGCCAGCACTGGCTTTCAGTGCAAATCAAGATGCACAAGCTCCAGGTGATTAGGGTCCTCAATCCCTTTCCAACAACTTTTTCCCTCAGTAACATCATGGGAATAAGGGCATTGGTGCCTTCCCAAAAGCAGACGGACATTCAGCAGAGATTCCAGTGCCGCCCAGCTGGTTAGAAGAGTGTCCACACCCACAGGTAGGTTTTGTTTCTATTGGTGGTGCATATTTGCACATGCCTCAGTGCACAACATGATTCACATACAGATGGAAAAAAATAGAGAGAATGTTGCCTATGGGGCCTTGCCCCCACTTTCCCCCAGAGTCCCACCAGAAGTTGCCCAGGGTGGGTCAAAAGCAGCTCCCGCTCCATGTCCCTGCCCCCTGGATCTCTTACCCTGAAGCAGGTGGAGGGACCCCTGCTCCCCAAAGCTACCCACATAGTGCAGCTCTTACCCCAGTCTGACTCTAGCCAGGGGTTTGGCCTTGGAGCCACAGCCTTGCCCACTAAAGCCCCCGAGGAAGCTATAAAGAGCCAGTGCAGATCCTCCACTTCCATCAGCTCTGGACAGGGAGCCTGGAGGTGGGGGAGGGAAGAGGCAGGATCTACCTTGAGAAAATCAAATGGGAAGGCTATGACTTCCTTGCCCCTCATTCCAGCATCACTACACGGCAGCTGAGATCATCTAGGGGTGAACTTCCAACTCCGGCTCAGTGCAGTATTTCACATTAGTTTTGTTTTTTTTAACATGTCAGTCAAGCAAAAGGCTAAAGTTCATTGATTTACAGGGAAGAACACAGCTCAGTTATTTATTCAGGCAATTGCCCAAGAAGACTGATGACAGAGAAGGGGTAGTGGAGTTTAGTCCAGTTGACATTGGTCACTGAGTTGTTTTCTTTGATATATTTGTACACAGACCCATGGACAGTGCACTGGGCACATTTTTTTATTGCAAAATAAATCAAACTTAATCCGTTGAGCATGCCACCAATTCCCAAACTGTGTGCACCTGCAAAGAAATCAGATAATGGAAATATAGCCCTATACAAACAAGACACCACAAAAATGATGAAGGCAAATATTTAAATGATCAAAACTAAAATTTAGAAAGACCTGCAATCCCTTTCACTGCACGGTAAGTAATACATCTAATGACCAGGTCCGGGAAAGAGCTGTCACTGTGACCTTTCTGATGAGAGCCTGACTGCCTTTCGGGTTCCATGGGGGGAAGGGGAGATTTGGCTTCACATTTTTTTAAAAAATAGGTTGAATTCAAAGCAACAGCCAGCCCTCTGTTCTGGGCTCTTTGAAGCTCTTTATAGATTACAAATATTAGTAATCATTAAC